TTAGAATATATAAACCAAGATCTGTTAATCTTTTCATTATTTGTTAATGTTCTGTGCCACAATGAAGATATCAGATGTCTTCCACTACGTTCAGTGGACCTAAGGTCTACGTTTTCTGGATGATGTTTGGCTAATAATGCAGCTTGACTGCTTAAGAAAGATCGTTGCTGATCGTTAATTTTTTTTTTTTCTTCTGTAATTAGCCAACAACCTGGGTCCGACAAATCAAAAGTTTTTAAGTCTTCCTTCTGCTGCCCACATGCACCTAAATTTTTTCTGTGATTTTTCCAACTACCTGGGTCCAATTGTCCAACTACCTGGGTCCGAAAATCAAAAGTTTTTAAGTCTTCTTTTCTGCTGCCCACACGCACCTAAGTGAGAAAATACTTTATATCCTAATTTCATGTCCTCTATAGATGTTCATTTGAGGTCGATGAAGAAGGTTACTTCTCTCAGTTGCTGAAATGTAGTCTGAGAATGATACATGAAGATTATTCATCTTGGTCATGCAAATTGCAAGAAATATCAATATCCTTTAGAATCTCGGTTTCCATCGGAAGTTGCGGCAGGGTCTGACGGTTCGTCTTTTCTCTGAGAAGCCTTTTTTTTTCATTTTGTAGCTGCATTTGTTTTCATTTTAGTTGCTCTTTGTTTTCTCTGATTCGATCCTATGCTCTTTTTCTATTTTGTATATGCTGCCCCTGAGAGTTCTTTCTAGACGCTCCCATGATTTCTTTTACCCTAAATAATATACAACATGTAATTTTATTGCAAAGGTACTCCATAAACTCCTTGGTCTACCTTAATAAGAAAAGCTAAAAATCGATGTAATTACACTCAGCAGTCTTATGGTCGCGTCACGGATGCGCACGCTAACTAAATGGTTACGTCTCACTTAATATGGTGAGGAATATTGGAAGCAGGCATATTAAAAGAAAATGAAAAAGCAGAAAAAAACCCAAACTAAAAAAAAAAAAAACTTTAAAAATTATAAAAATAATAAATCTATTTTTAAAACCTATGTTGCCGACTAGCTGCAAAAAACCAAAACACCGCCTTACTCAATTTCTGTTGTATATTCTCGACATACATTAATTTAAATTATTTCATTGGTCCAAGGTTAATTTGTATTGGGTATTAGGAAAGAGTTACAATGCTTCCCCATTTATTTCGCAAGAGGTGTCGATATGAAAACAAGACCCTCTATGATATCGTTCTGTTTCTCGTTTGAATATCCCCGCCTAGAGAAAGTGGATAACAGAGGGACTCAGACGTCATTTACAAGGACAAAAGACCAAGGAGTTTACAGAGTACCTTTGCAATAAAATTACATGTTGGGTTAGCAGAAGGACAAGGTCGTCTGATGTTGTCAGTGACGCCTGGAGTCCCTCTATTGTCCTCGCTCTGATCTTATCTTTAGAGTCGTATTCAGCTGTACTTAGCTTACTTTTAACTGTTTGTTCCATTAAAAGGTTTCCGAGTAATTAATTATAAATGTTCTTAAAAGAGGTTTTTAACCTGGGTTTAAAACTACTAACGTTGTATCAAAATTTCACAACATTCCAAATACGATCCAGCACCACGCTTGAATTTGCCGCCCTCAAAAGTTGCCGCCCGGGGCACAGACCCCGGCTTGCCCCCCCCTAGATCCGAGATTGTTGAAATATCTGTGCTTACTTAACATTCTATCTGCTTTATAAAAGAGAAAAAAAAATAGTTCCTTCAAATATCCATGCTTTAAAAAAAAAAAAAAAAAAAAATCATTATGAATAGGAAAACACCAGAAGCATTTCTTTGGGTATATACAAACTGTTAAGGTCTACTAAAATAATTTTGTTTTTCAGCACACCTAGTTACAAATATACACATTCCAGATGAAAATCTGCAGATAAGATTTCAATATCAACTCAGACCAAAGTAGCAAGTACATAAAAATGTAGTTTGTATTTTCTGAAATCATATAACCTTTCTTAGAACTCTTTAGATAAGATGCTAATTAGTGTCGCACATTTGTTGCAGTTTACATTGTAGCTTTAACTGAGGTACAGCAGTAGCTTCAATTCAAATGCAGGCATTCCATGAAATACTGTTTATATGGCCTTAAAGACAGATATTCAGTTCATTTCAGTATGCAGTCACATATATTAAAAATCCCCCAGCTAGTATCATTTTCAAATTCAACATAACTGGTGACCTTCCAATTCATTTTCAATTATATGGACTGTTTATTTTGAAAGTGGTGCAAGTCCATTTAAAAAAATTTAGAAATCACATAATTTATTTATAATTTAGTATTCACATTTTAATTATAAACAGTTCACAATTAGTATTTTAAAATATCCATATGCTTTGATCAATTTAAAATTCGTGAATAAATGAAATTATGGAATGATTGATTATGAAAGTGGTGCAAGTCCATTTCCTTATAATTACTAATTAAACACTTATAAAAGAAGAGTAAAACGTGATAAAAAGATGTTATATTAAATTTCAATCATGATGTCATACACGTATGTATTAACCTGAAATGTCAAAAGCTTTTGTTTCTTCGTTTGGTAACAAACAAATTATTTATGAATCAGTAGTTGCTTGGAAAGAAAAAACAGATTTCATTCGCATTGAAATGTTTTTATGAATTTCCTTTTCTGGTGTACATCACATAGTGATACAGGTAGGAATTAATAATAAATCATTATTTTACTAAAACTTAAGATATTTATTTTATTTTAATGTAAATATAATCATACAGTAATAAAGCCCATGAATATAAACAAAAGAAGAATCTCAGAAGCAGTTGATGTGAATAATTCCACCAATAAAAATGCCTGTTTAATGAAGATAACAAAAAGAAGAATTATACTGTTAGAATCTATGTCAGATGAGGATGATGTTTCATACAGCCAAAACTTTGATTCTGCAAAAGAAAATACAGAAAAATATGCCCAAAGAATATGTAAAATTATGAGAAATGCTGGATAAGAATATTGCACAAAAAATGGTAAAGTTATGCCTCCAAAAAATTGAAAATAAAAATTGTTACTGCTCAAAAAATGCATAGAACATATTAATGAAACAGAACACAAAACAATTTCTGATCAATTCTGGAATATGGGGAATTTCGATAAGCAAAACTTATTTCTCTATGGAAGTGTTCATCGATGTACTGTGAAAAGATCAAGGTCAAGAAATTAATCGGAAACTCTGAGGACTTGTGCTTATAAATTTCACCTGAGCACTCCACGTGGAAACATTTTAGTACACAAGAATTTTTTTATAAATACTTACAATATATTTATGGGGGCATATTGATCATATCTTAAAAGCAAATGATATTCCAAAGACATGCATGGGAGAATGATTGGCTCTTGGAAGAAAACTGGTGAACAAGCAATAAATACTGTGAGAGAAGATATAAGAAGTTTCCTGGTGTTTGAGAGTCACTACACCTGATCTCAAAATCCAGAATGAAGGTATTTGAACCCTGAATCAAACTTTAAAAACATGCTTAATTTATACTTCAAAACCGTGAGGAAAACAATGTAACTTCAGTTAATGAATGGACATACAGGAAAATCTTTAAAAGAGATTTCAAATTACATTTTCATCAGCCATGCAAAGACATGTGTGAAAGATGCAGTTTTTTTCATATGAAAATTCACACAATTAGCAATGATGAAGAAAAAGCGACTCTTATACAAAGACATGATGTTCGCCAAAAAATGCCAAATTAGCAAGAAAAGTTTTACAAAAAAAAATAAAATTTTAGCATAAAAAAATCCAGATAGATACTTTGCCTTTCCTTTATATTTACAGAAACCCTTATCTTATTCAAAATTATGTGTTTTGATCGCACATTATACGCGAAATACTTGTATGTATGTTTTAAACAAGGGATTTCATAATTTCCATGACAGTAAATTTTCTATGCATGTGTGGTACGAAATTACTGCTTCTAGGGGATAGCAGGAAATAGCACCTTGCTGCTTGAGACATTTACAAAATACAATGACTCAAAATTATGTTATAGCATACAGTGATATGTGCACTGGGCAAAACTGAAATAGTATACAAATGGCTTTGGTGTGGTTAAGAGTTATCCAGACCTCAGAAAATAACATTGAAATCATTGATCATTAAATTTTTACTTGCCGGGCATTCGTATTTACCAAATCGATGCAGATTTTGATATTACAGAAATAGCATTATGAAAAAAGAATTTCTTGTATACTCCTGGGGATTATTATGAAATTACAAAACAATCTTGACAAAATTATAAGCTTAATTTGTACAAATATCATAGTAAGTACAAAAGCAATTATTGCACAGCATGTATACAACAAAGTCACTGCAGAGTGCAAAGCTATAAACAGAACAATGAAAAATTATCAGTGTTGATTGAAGCGCCAGCATGGTCATGACTCAGCAATAACTAATTGCCGATCGATCTTGATGATGCTGTAGTCCAGAAAATGTGTCCTCAAATACTGCTGAAATGAAAAATTATCAGTGTTGATTGAAGCGCCAGCATGGTCATGACTCAGCAATAACTAATTGCCGATCGATCTTGATGATGCTGTAGTCCAGAAAATGTGTCCTCAAATACTGCTAAAAGTACATCTGCTGTGCTAAGTATCCACTGTCATCTGTTCTGCTGTAAATCAAATGCACATCTGCATATCACCCATTTGTGTAGTCAGTCATATAATTTCCAGAATGAACAAGACAAGTAATTGTTTCTACTGTGACTACTCACTACAAAAGTGCTGCTGTTGTTAGCTGCCCATACATTTGTAATGCTGTTTATATTAAAAATTATCAAACAACCTACAAATAAAATCAGTGATCAATAGACTGCTGCCTTCTCTTTCCTCCTATTGCCTGTCATGCCTCTGTGTTTGTCACTGCATTAAAAGAACCCCTGTATTTTTTAATTATAACAAATTTTCATATGAAAGATTATAAAACACTATGTACATCCAAAAGAAATTTTAAAAACTTACCATATTGTCCAACTTTCCAGGCCATGTTGGCTTTGTGTATGCCCGTTTCTGTATCCATAAACATTTACTTCCATCGATATTTTTAACATAGCCATTAACATGAACACCACATCTTTTAATCCCAAATAAACCTACACAATTAAAATGTATATTACTCATATGTTTTTCTAATTATCTCTTTACCATAGAATGAATAACACACTGTGGTCATGCAAGTAAATACTATACTGGCTCACATAAATTACTTAAAAAATATAAGATGAAATAATGGTTACTATCAATGTGTACTGCATGTTTCCACATATTCATAAAATATTTTAATTCATATTTTCCAAAATTTTGTCCACAATTAACAGATAAGTATCTATGACACAGATACTCCCAGATACTGTTACTAATAAGTATTAGTAACAGTATCTGTGAGCCAATATAGCAGAGCACAGAAATAAATCTTAAAAAAAAATACGCATTTGGTTTACAGTATGACCACATACATGTAGCAGACCTTTCCATCTTCATTACAGGAACATCACCAAATTTAGAACTGACGTCATAGCACTGAAAAAAACAGAAGCACTCAGAAAAATGAGCAAAGCAAAGCTGAAAATCATTTGCAGCTAATTTTTGTGTGTGAAAGCACCTACTTTTAAAATTATCTTTCAGCAGGGGCGGATTCTATTCCAAATTATATGTGGTTATATTAAAATATCCATTTTAATCTCATCTTAACACTGCTCAGAAAGAATGCCTACCTCAGCAGGTACATCAGAAATACCAATTTATACAACTGATTTGTAATTTGATAATTTCACAAATTTAAGGATTTATGTCATTTTAGCCATGATGAAAGGCAATTGACTTTCATGCAAAATAAATCCGCCCCTGTTTACAAAGGAGGAGAAGTCTACAGAAAAGAATGTTTACAAAAATATTATGCTGACACAGCAAAGCCAAAAAACTATCTAAGTAAGTATCTTCCTTTAAAAAGAAAAAAAAAAAAGCCATTTCTTTACAATTTTTTTAAATTGTATTTATAAATAAACTTAACAATTAAAAAAAACCATTAACCATTTGACAGAAATTTGATATCTCTGAAGAAAAAGAACTACACAACTTAAAATATATGTGTCAGAAGTATTTGTTGTTAGAAATACAAATATCATACATAAAATATTCTACTTAAATTTGCTTCTGTTTAAAGGAAAAAGTACAAAATCTAAAAGACACTTAAAAAAAGTACAAAATGGAAGTACAAATATATACTCAATTCTGTAACCATGCAGTATTTAACTTAATGACAACAAAATAAAAACTATGCATCAATAAATGGGTTCTTGAAATACAAAATATCAGTTATAAAAATTACTTTAGAACATAATTTATTTTAATAATTTCATTTACAAACAACTTTGCTTCTCCATATTAGTTCACACAAATTATGTTTTGAGAAATTAGTTAAAATTAAATTAAATTACTTTGGTTTTCAAAAAATTTGGTATTCTATTCTTATTTATTAATTTTTTAATTTTAATTCTAGTCTAATTTCTCAAAATTTTACTTGTTTAAATTTCTTTTTAGTAATTCACCACACTTGGTATTACTTTTAGTTTTGACTTTTACCCTTGTCTACATGGACGACGAAACACGAATTGAATAATTGAAGAGTTAGGTTCGGAGGCAACTTTCCCTTGATAAGTCTGTCTCTTGCCTGCTCAACAATTATTCACTTATGCATTTTTATAAATAAAATTTTTAGGATTAAATAATTTTTGGAATTTTAATTTTATATTTATTTCATGGATTTAGATACCTGCAATTGATTTACATATGCTCTCAGAATTTCAATGATATTGTATATTAGTTTGCCACAATAATTAATCATTTATTTGTTTGCATTAAATTTCATTTAAATTTATTAACTTTAAATTTGCTTTTTAAGAATAGAAAATGTTTGTTAAATTAAAATAATTAAAACTTTTATATATTATATATTATAGTACAAAGATAATGTCACTTTGAACTGTATGGCGATTAGCATTGCTGGTTATGTCATTGGCTCCCATCTTCAAATCCTAGAGAATGTTAGGATGTTTCTAGGTGTATAGTGTCCATGTAAAATGAGGGCTCTTATACTGCCAAGTCCTCTTGAGAGGTTTGGGGTAAGGAAACACGGGTAAGAGACATCAGATCCATTCCCAGGGGATTGGATATGGGGATAGATCTGATGTCCTGGGGATAGATGTTATGGAGATGGATGACATCAGATCCATCCAAAGGATCCACCATTAAACTGGAATGCAACATTCTTGTTCTTGTCAGTGTAGAATTGATTGTCCCTTGTGATGCACTTTTGACAAATTCTCAGTGATGAGATGGCTAAATTTGTGTATTAGCCATCCCCAATGAATATATGAATTTGTTATTATCCAGCCATATAAAACAACAACTACAACCAATTAAAAAGAAGACAAAAATATGCAGTGCAATATACATGGTTAATCAGTATGCAGGTCATATTCAATATATCCATGTTGTGTAACTTCAAAGCGGGCAGCTCAGCTTAAAACTAAATTCAGGAACGTTCTTGAAAGAAAACTAAAGCATTTTCAAAGCTAAAATTTAACACCCTTAAAAACCTTCCAAAAATGAAGAGACATAACATATACCTCTGGATTTCCAGCATAATCATTATGCATTCTGCATGATGGTCTGTTGATATATAAAACATTTTTAAACAGGTTTAACTTGGTACAGTATTAAATATTGTGAACCTAAGATACAACTTCTCTTTACGGATACACTGACAGATGCAGCACAGCCATCGTGGCTCAATTACTAAAGGCTTTGTGTCATAAAATTATCAAAAACCTGAAAGCCTTTTTGCCTCAAAGTGATTATATATCTGTGTTTTCCAGTGACTCAGTAGCTTAATGTATTTTTTTAATTAATTGCTGAGTTGTACACATATTTGGTGCATATGAATTAAAAAGACTTATTTTCATTATATATGTAATTAATTCATTAATTCTTTCAAATTTCTTTTTTTCAGGAAAAAATGTCACTGAAACATCTAAAGTCAAACATAGTTACTCATAAAAAAGAGAAACAAAGTCTGTTACACTAGAAACCAAATCAGAAGTTTTATGCCACATAGAAGCTGATAAAAAAAAGTAGTTGGTTACCATTTGTAATACAATGGGACTGCAAATTCCATTGTTCAAAGTATTCAAGATAGAAACAAAAATTCAAAAACCAGTCGCTATCAGCTGTGCATTCAAGTGTTTCAAAATTAACTCACCAAAGAAGCGCCATAATGGGGAGGGGAAAAAAAAAAAAAAAAAGAGAGAAATTATTAGATACATGGATTTTTTTTTTTTTTTTTTTTTTTCCCCTTTGAGAACATACAGACTCCCCGTGCACCACATATGTACAACACGGGATTTACAGAAGTAAGTTAACTAGAACATTAAAGGTTACATGTATAAATAAACATTAAAAATTACATGCATAAATAAAGCAAACAAAAGCAGAGAACAGCAATCTGGACTTCACGAAAACAGATAAGTTCACTGGCCAAGTCACTCCGAACATTTTCAAATCGTTCTGTAAGCATAATCTAGGGCCATCAAATGTAGGGCACGAGAAAATCAAATGTTCCACATCCTGAGGAACTCTTTTTGAACATTCACATAAATTGTTTGATCATAGATTAAAACGAAACAGATAACTTGCAAATTTACCGTGACCAGATAAAAACTGAGACACTTTAAAATTTAACGAGAAGATTTAACGAGATTTAACGAGAAGATAGATGGATTAAGGAAAGTAATCAATGAAGGATACCAATGAGACAAATGACTATCCAAGAAAAATTAAACAGGAAGGATAGTGATGAGCTGTGAAAGATGTAACATTTCAAGAAAGGCAATACTGGTTTAAAAAATTCCAAAAATCTATTTGCACAATTTAAAATTGAAAGGTCAAAGAGCTAGTTCAGCTGATGACATAGCTAAAGAATATCCCAACATTTTGAAAAGAATTCTTGAAAGAGGTGGGTACTGACCTGAACAAGTTTTTAATATAGACAAGACAGAATTTTTTTTTTTTTTTTGGAAGTGAATGCCTGAAAACATTTACATATCAAAATGTGAAAAGTCTGTATCTGGATATAAAGGTGTCATAAGAATGATTAACTTAGTTCCTTGGTGATAAAGCTGCAAGTAATTTTAAGCTAAAACCACTGTTAGTATATCTTTCCAAAAATCCAAGGTCATTTAAAGGCTGAACAAGAAATAATTGCTCATCATTCGGAGCTCCAACAAGAAAGGTTTGATGACTAAAATTCTCCTTGAAGACTGGTTAAAAAATTACTTTTGCTCAGAACTAAAAAAGTCTGATGTGTACACTACATGACTTCCTTGCTGTATTTTTTGCTGTATTTCTTTTAACTTATTTCCTCAGATTTCATTAGAGATATATTTCTTATTCAATTTATTCAGTTCTCACTTCACAGCAATACAAAAATGCATAAAAACTCAAAAAACCTTCATTGAAAATTATAAAATACAGAAAAACATAAAACACAAAATACGGTTAAAAACTTTTAAAAAAAATAATTTCTTCAATTAAAATTAGAGTTTCTACACAAAAACAAGCAACTCGGCCAGTGAGCATGAAGACAGATTTTTTGGTGCACAAAATCAAAAGTTTACTTTTGGTCCTACTTGGCAAAACGAACAAACTAACTGAAATCACTATCTCATAAAAGTTTCAAATGGCAGCCTCATTAGGCTTAGTACCATTTAAACATTAAACAACTTTTAACTGTTGACAATTCTATAACCACTGCATGCAAATAAACCAAAGGCATGAATACCATAACCAGAACAAAAGAACAACATAATTCAATCACTTTTAAAGGACACAATGCAAAATTTACCATCATACAAAATCTGATGTGAACAAACACTACATGACATCCTTGTACGGCCTATTAAATTAAACATAACTTTTTTTACTGAATTTCATTTAAACGTACTTCTTGAATTTCATTTGAGATATACTAGTCCTCATTCAATTAATTCAGTTCTCACTTCATGGGAAGGCAAAAACACAGAAAAACTCAAAACATCTTCATTAAAAATTGCAAAATACAGAAAAACCTAGAACACCAAATATGGTTAAACACAGGAAAAAAAATTACAATTAAAATTACGAGTTTGTATGCAAAAATAAGCAATTTAGCCAATGGGGCAAGAAGACAGATTTCTTCGTGCATGAAACTGAAAGTTTACTTTTTACCACTTAATAAAAAGACACTGAAGTAGGTGCACAAAATGACTTAATTTATTATTCTGCTAAAAGTTTCAAATGTAAACAAATGGCTGCCTTGCTAGGCTTAGTACCACTTAAGCAACTTTTTAATTGTTGATAATTCTAAATTACTGCATGCAGATTAAAGGCATAAAAACCTTAACTAGAACATAACAAAAACACAATTCAATAACTTTTAAAGTAAAAAATGCACAATTTACCAACATATAAGAATAAATAAACTA